TACAAGTGGAAAAAAAAAAAAAAACCAACCAAGAAAGGAGGAAGGAATAGGAAAGTAAGAGCAGAACAGACCCAGAGGGTCTTAGGGGAGGCGAAGACACAGTGATAGGGCCAGGTGCAGAGACCTGAGAGAAGAGGATTTTTTTCCAGTGAAATGCTATGTGCCTTGGCCCCTCTCGCTGGTCTCTTGAGTTACTGGAAAAATTACCCACATCACAATATGCTTGATCCATTGGATTTTTTGGAAGCTGGTTAAAGGTCCGAGTCAAGGTCAAGGGTCCAAAACAGTGTTCTGCCATAGGCAATAAGGGCTCAGAGTGTAGTTTTCACCATCCAGTTACAATTACAAGTACATCAATAGACGGAGGAGCCAGCCATGAGGAGGGCAGAGGGGAGGGGGAGCGCAGGGGCTTGGAGGGGGTCTACCCTTAATTATGTTGCTCTCAGACATGTGTTCTGGCCAGAGACTTGCTAAGAAGAAGCCTTTGTTTAAATCTCAACCTTGGAAGTATAGAAGTATAGAAGTTCTATGGACTGTTTGTCTGTATGAATCTGAGCTCGATGAGCCTTTGTGTTTCATTAAAGGACACTCTGGGAACATAAACCTGCTTGTCTTCAGGATAGCCAGAAACTCCTAGTTAGAGTCAAAGGCCTGTGAGAAGTGAGAACTTCCTGACGATAATTTGAGACTCATTTCATGGGTTCCTTGACTTGACTTTGCATTTAACCCCGAAATGTTCTTTGCTGGGCTTTTCTTTTCCTGCCCCTCCTCCCCCGCTCCATTGTATTTTCTTTTTGCTTTCCAGGTCTTACCTCTCACTGCTTCCTGAGTTTATCTCTCCAGCAGAGGGTGTCACTTGGAACCCCAGAATGGGTCCACCACTGAGTTCAGACTTTTTCATGCTCTACTGACAGTTGTAGGCATGGTTTCCAGAAATCTATCTGCCCAGGGATTGAGTTATTCTCGTGGGAGAGCTTTTCCTTAAACACAATGGAAAGGCCATAATTCACATCAAACTCAGCTGAGAAAATAAACCTTTAGTCCCTAGCAGAGCAGTGCTTGCAATCTCTCTCTACCACCAAGAGCTCAGGACCATATTTATTTATTTAAAGACAGGGTCTCATTATGTAGCCTAGGCTGGCCTTGAACTCATGACCCTCCTGCCTCAGTTTTTGAGGACTAGAATTACAGATGTGTACTACCATGCCTGGCTTCTTGCCTTGTATTTTATAAAGATGCAAGGTGACTGGTGTAGCAGAAACAGGACAGATGCTCCTCAAACTCATTTCTTTTTCTTCCTGGTCTCACACCCTCTTGGCACTCACATTTTGTGCCTGAGTTCTAGTCAAGTAAATATGGGCAAAAGTTACCTTTGGCTGCTCCAGGCTGACCAGCAATACAAATGGTCCAGCGGAGGTCACCAAAGTACTGTGGATGTACCTAGACAGAGGAAGCCCAGGTCTCTGATGGGCTGTGAGAAATAGGGGGAATGTGCCTACCCCACCCCCACCATGTGACAGAAGCAGAAATGAAATTGTGTGTCTAAAATCATCAAAACAGTGAGGTTGTTTGTTATAGCAATTCTCCTGGTTGACTCACCAAGTAAAACTGGAAAGCTCTGTCTAATAAAAATATTGCATTTGACCTTGAAGAACAGGCAACCTGGCAGTAGTAATTTTCTAATAAATTATAACTTAAGGTGAAGAGACAGGCACCCTTCTCTATTTCCATTCACTGTAGGGCTTTGACTTTACTGAGGTTTGAACTCGGAGTGCCTCGTGCTTGCTAGGCAAGCCTGAATTTTGAAATTTTAACAGTGCCAAGATATGATGTGGCCTTGATGGTGAGAGATACAGGAAGGAGTCATTTGGAAAAGGCAGAGATGTCCCAGGACCTGGTAGTCCCAGTGTACCAAGAGAGATGGGGGCAGCAGTGGTCCTGGTTCCAAGAAGAAATAGTCTAGTATAAGGAAATGGTCACTATGGCCAGGGAAGGCAAGCTTTAGATGACCAGATTTGACCTTTTGAGTAAGCACAGCACACTTAGTTTAAGAAATGCTTGGATTATCACAAAGCCAAGCTAGCAAGGATAGATTCCCACTAAAAGTTACTAGAACCCAAGAAGTTGGGCAGGAACACTTCCACTGGAAAGACAGAAGATGCTCTTCTGAAAGCTTAACGATTTAAGAAAAATTATTTCCTCTCTTCACAGCAGGCACAGCTGTCAGTCAGGTTGTGCTGACTCCCCAGTCACCTTTGTTTTAACTTTTATTGAGGCAAGCCAAAGTCAGAGAGCCCCTGGGCATTTATACCGTCCACAGTGACCTCAGTGGGTGTTTTGGCATCAAAGGTATTCACATTCCATGTGATAGCTAAAGAAGAACCCACAAGGATCCCTATTCCTTTGGTCATGGCTTCGAGTTTTTTTCTTGAAAGTGAAAGAAACTGTGTTAAATTTGAGAAACAGGGTTCTAACCTGTGAGTCTTATGTTAAAATGGGTAAATGTTGCAAGATTTCTGGAGGGCACAAGGGAAACAAATGGGGATGAGCTGAGGGAAGCAGTGAGGGAGGGATCCCCAGTATCTGCTTCCCTCCAAAAATCACCTGGATACATCTGGGGTGTTATAAGGAGAGTGAAAATGCCCTGCAGAGGGCATAGGAATCTGAGGGGCTAGAGCTCCCCCATCTACTGGCATGTGACCACTCACACGTTTAGGTGTGTACATGTGAGTGGTTGCATAGGGACCCTTTGGGTAGCCATATAGTTTGGAGTAAATTGTGTGTGTTTAAATTTTCACTGTGTAGCCCAAGTTGGCCTCTAATGCTCCATCCACCTGCCTCAGCCTGCCCAGTGCTGGGATTACAGGTTGCAGTTTTTGATTAAACTTTGAACTGTTCAGTTTTATTTTACTCAGATCACATAAGAAGGGACACTCCTGAATATATATTTTCACTAAGGAAAACAGACATTCTCCTTTCCTCTTAGCCTGTATAACTTGGTTGTTCTGGTCTATCCCCACCTTGTCCTGGAAGTTCAAGTTCTTGTTCTTCTGTAACTAAAACGGACATAATCTACACCCTTCTCATACTTAAAGGTCACTTTTCTGTCTTCGTATCTTAGAATGTGTTCTAACTAGCTAATCTGATACCAGGAAAGCAACTACAGGCTCACTATGACTCATAGAATTTACTTTCTTAGATGACCTACATTGATATAAAATATGGTTTTTAATTAATCTTACTTTCAGAGAAGTGGCAAATAGTAAAAATGGCAACTCTTATAGAATGCTGAAAGAATTAATGTTTAAATTTCTAAACCATTAAATTATTCTTTTATTGTCATTTGCTATTAAATTAGGAATTTAAATTGCTAAGCAAGACATGGTGACACACACCTGCAGTACTTGGGAGGCAGAGGAGGCAAGAGGGTCATGAATTTGAGGCCAGCCTGGGCTACATAGAGAGACCTTCTCTCCAAACCTCCCATAAAAGAAAAATATGAATTTGTTAAAACATTAACAAATTATCAGTCAAAAAGGAGAGTTGACAGTAATGCAACATTAGGTGCAGGGAACAGTTCTAGATGCATTTCATGGTGACATTTAATTCTCAGGATGGCTCTCTGGGGTAGGAATTATTTTATCTCCATTTTGCACATGACGAAACTGAGGCAAGGGGTGATCGAACCACTGACCATAGGTCTTGCAGTGGAAAACGAGATTTGAACTCCGGAGGCCTGGCTCCCAAGCCTGTGCTCTGTGGGAGGGTGATCTTCTCTGTGGGGTGGACCTTGGGAGGGGAACTAGTGCCAGAGTGTCCGAGACAGTACAGTCCTATCTATCTACAGTGCCTCCTGAGGATGCAGAGGTCTCAGCAGTGAGGTTTATCTTGGAGCTTTTGTTCTCACGCTAACATAACAGATCCTGCTTTACTCTTCAATAAAGGGCAAGGCAGGATTAGATAGCCTCTAAGAACACCCCAATTTCAAGATAACATCTTTAGCATTTCTTTTCTTTTGGAGGTACTGGAGTTTGAACTCAGGGCTTTCACCCTTGCTAGGCAGAGGCTCTACCGCTTGAACCACTCCACCAGCCCCATCATCCTTAGCATTTCTGAATTCAAACGCTGATCTCTTGGTGTCTATGGGGAAGAATCCATCGGTTCTTGTCTCGTCGACCTTGCACGCTAGGTGTGGCGGGGTGGGGTGGGGTGTAAGTAGATAGCTGGAAAGACCTGGGGTAAGAAACGAGGGTCAGAGTACTGGGGCGTGGCTGAGGTGGCAGAGCATCTGCCTAGCAAGAGCAAGACCTCAGTTCAAGCCCCTGTATTGGATGAACGGGGAGGGGGAGGAGAGATGGTTAGAGCGCCAGAAAGTTCAGTCTGTACCTAAGAAACAAAAAGAGACACACTGAGCTGTGGGCTTCAAACAGACGGTGCCATTTAATTCTTATAGCAACTTACGAAGGCAGTAGCGTCATCTCCATTTAAAAAATGAGGCTGGGGATGTGACACAACTGATAGAGTACCTAGTGAATACAAGGCCCTGAATTCAAATCCCAGTACCACCAAAAAAATGGAGAAGGAGACGAAAAAAAAGAAGCTGAGGGCTGGGGAAATGACTGAAGTGATAGAGCACTTGCCTAGCAAGTGCAAGGTCCCGAGTTCAAATCCCAGTACATTAAAAAACAAAACAAAACAAAAACCTGAAGGTTAGGCACACTGAGTGACAGGAGATGCACGTGTGGCTTTGCCAGGCCCACGCGTCTCCTTAGATCTGTCATGTCATCCCCACCTCTCGGCAATCATATAGGGCAGTTAGGATCTGGCCCTTTAGACAGATGAGGCCAGTGAGACTCCCAGCGACTAGCCTGCCAGGTGGCTTGTGCCGACGAGTCTCCTCCCCTTGGCCGGGCTCCGGTGGCTCCCACCCCGCCAGGTCGCGGCCCCACGCGCGGCGGGCTGCGAACTACACTTCCCGGCAGCGCGCGGCGCGCGCACGCGCACCGGGGCCTCCGCCATGGCGACAGTGCTGTCCAGGGCGCTCAAGCTCCCGGGTAAGGAGTCGCAGCCTCGATCACGACCACCCTGTCCCCGCCGGGCCTGGGCAGAGGGGGAGGCCAGGGAGGCTCGGGGGCCGGGTTGCAGGCACCCCGAGGTGAGGTGATGAGGGGTCCCTGCATGGCCAGGCGGCGCAGGGGCGCCCGGCCGGGCGGGGGTCGAGGGGCCAGGCGAGTGTCCTTCGCAGGGAGGGGCCGCTGGGGACGCGCGAGGCAGGTGGCGGGCGGGGATGGGGGAGGGGGGCCGCACTGCGCGTGTCGCCGAGGTCGCCAGGTCGCCGAGAGGGGAGCATCTTTCTCCACGCGCCGCCGCCAGGTGCCTCCAGCTGGCTCTGCTGGACCTGCGCGGGCGCCGTGGGCAACGGGACCCCCAAGTAACCTCAGTGACACAGCCTGGCCTCCGAATGACAGGTCTCTTCCTTCCCAGTGTATACAATAGGAAAAATGAGAAGACTGGGGACATGGCTAGTTGGATTGCCCAGGGTCCCAGAATACTGGAGAAGCCTGGCCCTGAAGGTCAACGTTTTTTGGATTCTAGAGCTTTTGGCTCAACTTAGCCTCTGGCTGTTGAGGGTGGGTACCAAAGGAAACCCTTTGGCACCTGTAAATTGCTGATAAGGTATGGGCTATGGCCCCACGATGACTTCCAGAGGTGATTCAGTACTTCGGGCAGAAGCTCCAGCCCTTTTTTGTGATGGGTTTTTCGAGATAGGGTCTTGTGAACTATTTCCCCGGGCTGGCTTCGAACCTCAATCCTCTTTATCTCTGCCTCCTGAGTAGCTAGGATTACAGGCGGGAGCCACCGGCGCCTGGCCCCAAGTCTTCGACTTCCGGAATGGGACTCTACTGTTGGAAACTTGCTCTTTGAATACGATCTGCTCAAGTGTACCTCAAACCTTCAGGCTTTAGAGAAACTTAGGGTTCTACCTAAATAATTTCTCAACATTGTTATAAGCCTTTATTTACTGATAACATGTTAGAGGGAAAAACAGTTGTTTCCCCTAGCATCTTAGAAAGGGTTACTTGGGTGTTGGGTGCATATCCAGACCCAGGCTGTAAGGTCATTGTTAGTCCTCTACCCTGAAACCAGGCTTGAGCCTTGGATGATACTGGATTGGCCATGAATTTGTATTCCTGTCCCCAGACTTCATGACCTCACACAGATTTGTTTTTTCCTCATGGACTCATTGGCACAGTGGAAGGAAAGTTGATAATATCTATTTTGGAATGTGTACACAATAGTAGAATTAAATGAGAGACATGTCCTATCACCTGAGTGTAGCTGAGTGAAGGATGATATCTTCTCAAACGGGTAATAAATGTCAGATATATTTAGCTTTCTTCCCCCCCCTTTAAAGTCCTTGTTTTATTTGTTATTCTCTGGGAATAAGAATGCAAGAAAGAACAATCTTGCTTTAGCAGCCCTGCAGTTTTTTTTTGTGGGCTCACTGAGGCTGGTGTCTCAGTATTTATTCCTTGTATTAACTTGGTCAGCTGACAGTGGAAGTGAAGGATTTCTACAACCTGTGTCTGCAAAACAGTGTGGCCCTGCTCAGGGATAGGATCAATACTTTTAGGCCCAGACACAGTGTCCAGATGTTCTGAGATGTGGTGTGTATTTTTGCCCTTTTCCTGGTCTTTCCCTTGCTCTTTCTCCCTTGCATTTAAAATATAATTTGGCTTTTATATTGGGCAGAAGCTACTTCTAAGGCTGTGCAATGGCTGTTCTCTTTGGGTTACTGTCTTGTATTACCTTAGTTAACTCTTGCACTAATGGAGGCAGAGTAGAGTGGCGACTAAGAGCACCAGGCAGGCTCAAGTTCAAGTCCAGACTTCACCTGATCAGTTACTTAACCGCTGTAAGCTTTGATTTCCTCATGGCTGATGGTGATATTATCATGGTGCCTTCTCTGTGTGCCACACACCCCGCTGCACATTTATCTCCTAGGGTTATTTGGAATAGTGGGAGACATGGATATACTTAGGAGTCTTACCGACTTCCGACTCGTTAGCTGTTGTTATGATCATTATCAATGCCATGATCATTTATGGATGTGGCACCTGAAGGAAGGCCTGATCCCAGAGTGACTCAGTGACAGATCATAGCCACCTGGTGATGAAAGACCAGCTGCTAGAAATGCATTTCATAGGCTCTTGTCCTTTCACTAAGCTCTGGATGGAAAGATGTTTGGCTCACCTGCAAAAACTAAGGTTAATTAGTAGCAGAAGGACAACAACGTGACATTCATAAAGCCTGTAGGACAACTTATCTCTTAGGTATATATTGTTTTTAGGCCATTTTAGAGTTTGAAGGTCAAACACTGAAGGACTATCAGAGCCTTATGTTATTGTTGTGGTTTTTTTATTATGTGAGCTTACAGGGATTATGTGACTCTAGATAAACAAATCCATGTTATGAATTATTTACCTTTAGCTGTCTTGAGATATTACATAGTGTATGTAATTATAGTGTGTGCCATAGTAGAGCGTGTGTTATAGGGGGTATATTTTAGTATATTTTCCTGAGAATGTGTGGGAATGACAGAATTGAATCCTTTCCTACTTATGTTTTCTCTGTATCGTTTTGAAAATGTCATTTAGTCACCATCCTCAGTCTTCCTAGAAGAAAAGCAATAGCTGTGGGAATTTCATTTCTATAAAGTGTTATGAAGTCAGGGCCCCCTCCCACATTCTTTGCAAACCTTCCATTGATTAAAAATCTGGGTGGTGACTGAAAGCAGCAGAGGGGAGAGTGAGTCTAGGGCCCAAAACTTTGAATCACAGAATTTATGTCTAGGTCCTCAGCTGGAGAATGGCCTAAGGCAAGCTGGGAGACAAACACACTCTCTCTCTTTTTCTTTCTCTTTCTCTCTCTTGTTTCTCCTCTTCTGTGAATAGACAGAAATACATTTAGGACTTCTCTAGCCAAACCTTGCACTCTGTAATAGTTAAGCTGAGGTTGGTCTTTGCACTATTCTGAAAAGCAATGTATTAGTGTAAAAGTAAATACTGTTGATGCCCCCAAAATTGATCAAGAACTGGGCCTAATTTGTAATCTTTTTTTCCTCCCTCCCCAGTTTTATTAGGATATTAGGGGGAGGGACTCATTGTTCTCTTGTGAGAACATAGGACCGTGTCGTGTTCTTGCCTTTGCACTTCAAAGATAACATGGCCCAGTCAGGGTTCTTGGGCGTCACACCGTGGGTGCTTACTCCTCATGGGTGAAAACTTTGTAGCTGTTACTCCACTAATGTTTGTGTGTTACTCTGGGGAAGTCAGCCTGATTTTTTTTTTAATTTCAAGTATTTTTTTATTAGTGTAAATTAGCTGTACAATGGGGTTTCATTGTTATATTTATGTTCATGCATATAATGTACATTGATAAAATTTACCTCCTCTGCTACTCTTGCTTAATTCTCCTTTCTCCTCCCTTTAACAGTTTGGGTTGGGTTTCATTATTCTGTTCTCATACATGCATACATATACATGTAAAATGTACTTGGATTATGTACCCCATCATCCTCTCCTTCCTCCCTCCCCCTCCCACTGGGTTGCACCACCAAATAGCCCCCTTTTTACTATCATGTCATGTTATTATTATTTTAGGTCAAGATACTGCATATGTGTGAAAACGTGATATTTGGTTTTCTGAACTTATCTCATTCAACATGATACTCTCTAGTTCCATCCATTTTCCTGAAATGATATAACTTCATTCTTTATGACTGAGTAATACTCCATTGTGTATATGTACCACCTTTTCTTTATCCACTTATTGGTTGTTGGGAATCTAGGCTGATTCCATAGCTTGCAGCCTGATTTTTGTTGCCATCAATAGGGACTTGCTTCTTTTTCCTTTGGCCTGGCTGTGCATAATCTTCCTTCTTTGTCCTCGAAGTCCAGTGTCTTTACTGAGACAAGCTTCAGTATTGATTTTTCTGTATCATGGCCTCTGTGTATCCTTTATTCTGCAGGTTTAGGTCTTGCTTTATTGCAGAGACTTTTTGGATCTCCTTCAAGTATTGGTTTGGGTTCTGTTTTCTTTTCTGTTCTTCATTTATGCATAGGTCAGCTCACCGTTGTTCTCTATGTCAGTCAATTTCTTTTTAGTCTTTTTCAAGGCTTCAGCTTTTCCATGGGAAACCCACAGAATCTGGTACATATTTTGAATCCAGACTTGCTGTTTGTTGATGGGCCAGCTGCTTAAGTGTCCAACCTCGATTCCTTATCTAGAAAATGGGAGCCAATCATATATCTAACCTCAAAGAGTTGTTACGGAGATTGACTGAGACGAGACATTAAAAGTGCTTGGAAGAGTGTGCAGTAAGTGCTCAGAAACTGCCAGCCTTGTTATTTCTATTTAATTTTGCTAGATTTCTACTAGACTGTCCTTTGTGTTTTCAGCAATGTTTTCTCCTCCTCCTCCTCCTCCTCCTCCTCCTCCTCCTCTTCTTCTTCTTCTTCTTCCTCCTCCCCCTCCCCCTCCTCCTCCTTCTTCTTTCTTTCTTCTTCTTCTTTTCGTTTCAGTGTTACTGAGGCACTCAGTCACTTGATCCACGCCTGTAACCCAACAATGTGTATTCTTTTTGCTTATTCCAAGAAGAATTTCTTCCTTAAAATTGCTTTTTTAATTTCCCACTGTTCTCCCGAGCCCTGCTTTTTTCCTTTCACTCTTTTCTATTGAGTTGTCATTTTCTTCCTGGAGATATTGTCTGTTTATGAGTCCTTATTTCAGAGAAGACTGTTTTTAATCCTTGCCATCCACGGGGAAGCCTCTGTTCATTATGGCTTCCATCTTATGGTGTAACTAGTCCAGCATTTATTCTTCAGTGCATTTTGTTTGCTGTGTTTGTTATAATAACTTCCTGGGCTATTTGTAGAACTCTAGTATTTTGTGGAATGAGTGTAATGATGGTTCCTTTCTAATTATTACTCATATTTAAATGGAGCAGTTTTATATCTAGCTCTTGCTGACATATGGGTAGAGCAGGGACAGG